CTCCCGCACACCTCTGGCGGAGCTGCCCTCAGCACTCGCTCCCGTCGCTCTGCGGCTTCTGCCTCGCTGCTGCCCGGACAGCAACGGCTGCCACTGAGGTGGCATTCTAGAATCAGTGGGTGGTTGGAATCCTACCTCAGCCCAATCCTGCAGAAGCTGCCATGGGGTTGTCATGACCACAGCGCAGGACCCAGCGCTTGCTCCTGTGCAGCCTCGTACGACTGGCCTCAGGCCGTCCCTCTGCAGGGCCTTCCTGCCCTCGAGCAGATGGACGCTTCCTCCCAGCAGCGTTCCTTGCACTGCGGGGCCTATGTAAAACCCACACTAGAGTCGTTTTTTCAATTCAAGAGCGTGTTACAGCACCAATCTATTTCACCCGTAAGGAAATCCAGGAAGAGATGGGAGAAATACACAACTACTGCCAGACTGCTTTATAAATTTCTTTCAACAAGAGCATTTTTCCTTTTTGCTTCTATGACCACCTCATTTTCTCCTCCCTTTTTGTGGGGAAGCTGCCTCCAGTGCCTGACTTCAGCAGACAGCACGAAACACAACACAAAGAAAAACGCTTGCCGTGAGTGCGGGGTGGCTGTGCTTTGCCAGGCACACGCTTGGTCAGTAAGTGCCCCACAGCAGCCCCGAGCCAAGCCCTGCATGCAGTCACTGTGCCCACAGCTGGTGCACCACTGCCAGAACCGATCTGAGGACACAGGTGGATGCAGGCACTCCTGCTCCTTCTGCAAAGCCATCCTCTGCAGAGCCCGCTAGATGCTGCTCACTGCTGGGCCAACCGGGCTCCCGTTTACTGCAGCCCTGGGATAAACACATGTGCACTCTTCTGTGCAGCAGTGAGCTCCAGGCATGAAGCACCAGAGGGCAAATCAGCGGAATCTACTGCTGACTCCATCAGGTCCTTCTTCTACCAACCACAGGGCAAATACCATGGCACAGAACACAGGGGGGAAAAGCACTGCTGCTCGCGCGCCTACAATGGAATTGAAAACAGCTACTGCAAGAAGAGCTCATAGGGCAAACCAAGCCTCAGACACGTGCGCGCACACACACATACATATATTCATTTCTCTCTACCTTAGTAAACGGTTTTCTTTCAACACAAGCTCTATTTTTCTTTTCCCACCCAATTCTCTCCCCCATCCCATGGGGAAGAGGGGAGTGAGCGAAGGATTGTGTGGTGCTGAGCCACCCACCAGCTTCAACCACAACAGCGTCACAGGGCAATGGGAGCAAACAGAGATAAAACACAGAAACTCGCTCTTTCTTTGGCTCATGGCCGCCACAGAGCTCGTGTCTTAGTGACACACACAACCGTATCTCCAGCTATTATGCGTCTCACTAACGCAAGCTCAGCTGTGAGCTGTCGCTCAGCCTGTCACCACAAGCAGAAAATAAATGGACATACACAGATGCCCTTATCCACACAAGCCAATCTGGGTGCGAGGAATAAAAGCTCACTGGGCCATGGGCAAAGCAGGGAGCACATAGACAGGAAGCAGGAAGGAGCTGAAGTCCAACTCTCCTACACAGAAGACAGGGAGAGCTGAGTGAGCACCACAGGAGGAGTTACAACGCAGCTTAAGAGCTTACAGAACCCTGAGATTGCCAAAGGACCCTGCCAAGGTGACTCTCACCATTCTTTTGCAGGGGTCTCACAGATGTTTTGGATGCTGACTTCCACTTCCTCTGTCATTTGTAGGAAGTCCGGGTGAAAAATGCTCATTTTGTCTGGGCAGCACTTCCATGGTTCCATGGTTATGACTGGGGAAAAAAAATAGCACGCAACTCCATAAAATTTACCTCTCCGCTGTTCGTGTCAGCACAACATCTGAGATGAGCATTACACATCCCTGCACCTGATTGAAAAGTCATCCAAGCCTATGTTCCACACAGCTTCATCTCAGTGCCAGAAAAAACACACACAGAAACGTTTAGAAGATTCTTTGCGCAGATAAAAGTGCAGAGTGCAAATGTATTCTTTTCAGTAATAAATAGTAATGTAGAATCCAAAGGTAACTTATTCAAGAACTAATATGAAATAACGGTCAATGAAAAGGAAATACGAGATTAACTATTTTCATCTAAAAAATCGTTGCTAAACCTCTTCCCATCAAAAAGGAAGCATGCTGGGCACTGTTAGCAGCAGCTCAGACAGCATCTTGCACCACAAAATGTGGCACATTCTTTTTGCTCACAGGCCTCTTGTTTCTCTAATTAGTGTCAGATTCATTCAAAATACATGCACCAGAACAGCCATTCAGTTCTGTTGAGGTAGGAACCCACTGCTGGGATGTCCCCCAGTCCCATTCCCTGCTATTTCCAGCATTGGCGGGGAAAAGGAAGAGCAACTGACTTCACCTACCCAGACTTCTGCAAGGCCTTCGATACAGTCTCACATTACAGGGAGAAGCACAGGGGAGAGCTCTGGTGGCTGCAGAAATCAAGATGGTGCTTTAAAACAACATGATTTACTGGGCACGAGACATGAAAGACAAGGTTAAGGTGAAAAAGCCTCCAACCCCTGTGGATGTGGCTGTCTGCACAGACAACAGCTGCCTGCTGTCCAGCTAAGCACTCACCAGCAGATGCCTTTCATAGAATCATAGAATTAGCAAGCTTGCAAAAGATCTCCAAGATCATCCAGTCCAACCGTCCACCTACCACCACCATTTCCCACTAAGCCACATCGCTCAGTATAACATCCAATGTTTCTTGAACACCTGCAGGGACAGTCACTCCATCACCTCCCCCGACTGCCTGTTTCAGCATCTGACTACTCATTTGGAGAAGTGTTTCTTAACATCCAACCTCAATCTCCTCTCATGCAACTTGAGGCCATTCCCCCCAGTCCTGTCACTACTTACATAGGAGAAAAGGACTATCCCCACCTCAACATAACCTCTCTTCAGGTAATTGTGCAGAGGCGTAAGGTCTGCCCTGAGCCTCTTCTCCAGACTAAATCATCCCCGTTCCCTCAGCCACCCCGCATAAGACTTGTGCTCTACACCCCTCACAGCTTCACTGCTCTTCTTTGGACACATTTCAGGGTTCCAATGTCCTTCTTGGACAGAACTGAACACAGCACTCAAGGTGAAGACTCACCAGAGCTGAGTACAGGGGATGATCACATCCCTGCTCCTGCTGGCTCCAGCCCTTTGCACTGCACTTCCAATCTAAACCCGTTCCTTCTGCGGTAGCGCTTGCATCCTCACTTAGGGCTGGAGCTCAAGAGCTCAACGCAACAGGAAGAACACAGCGTGCAACTGGAAGACGCGCCTCAAAGCCAACAAGAGTCATCTCTCTGACCTTGGGCACAACTCACCAACCGAGAGCCAGGCCTTGCCAGCTTGGCTGATCTGAGCATGTCAGAGGGGGCCGGACATCAGATCACAAAGTGTCCATTTCAATTGCAGCTCCATGTAAGGAAAAACACCAATTAACAGGCACGAATGAATTCATTCACAAGCTGCACAGCAAGTGTGTTCTTCATTAAAAAACCCACATGGATTCTTAATCCAAAAAGAGAATGGCAAGAGTTTGTACCGATTGAAGAGGTTCTTGTTCCTAAGCCTCATCCTCTTATCCCGCCTTTCCTTGCCTCATCCCCTACCCCAACTCCTGAACGATGCACGCAGGTTTAAACTCAGATCTCAAACCCATAGGACTCCTTTCACAGGACTCCATCAGAAAGGACGACGCACTTGTTCCATACACCCAAGCTGACCAAGCAGTGATATCACGGTCACTTAAACACACAGCAGCATCCACACCCCAAGCACGCACACTGCTTCCTGTGTTACTGGAGCCCACAGCTCCCCTTCACACCTCTGTGGATTCCTGGTGATTCACATCGATGCAGCCTCACTATAGATCCACGGATGTCACACAAGGCCTGCAGGACTTCTTTCTCCACAAATCCCATCTGCAGGCATTGGTTCATAAGGTTTACCACCCGCCCTCCTGAGCAAAAGAAAACACTAAGAACAAGAGCAAAGTGCTGGATTTGACCCGGCCTGGTCCCCAAGCCTCAGTCCTGCTAGACATACCCTGGTATGTAGACTCATCCCCAAAGCCTGACTGGACATCAGCACATGCATCAGTCTGCAAATGCCCCATCCCAGCAGCAAGGGATCAAAGCACTGGGACAAATGCTGAAATAAAAATGCCACGCAAGTTCTCTATTAGCATTGATCATGAACAAATCTACCCCGGAGGATGTGGGACAAGTAGCAGAAGACAACAACCTGCAGAACCAGCTCATTTGGGGCTGCTCCAGATGTTTGTATGCTCCCTTCCATGGCCCAGGCCAAGCTTGCTGAGCTGCTCACGCAGCAATTAAAGGCCGCTGTGACATTATTTTTGGATTTGGTGTCCTCAGTGGATGAACCCAGCACCTGCCTGTATGGCAACATGTGACCTTTTGGCTCAAACATCAATCCCAAATCCCAAAGAAACAGGGAGGCTGCAGCATGCATACTTTGTGCAGCCCCTGCGCTCCTTGAGTCAGAGATCGCTGACATGCTGCAGTGCCCCATTTCCGTTGCAGAATGACGCAGGATTGCTGAAGTCACTGCAGATTTGGAGAAAAGACAAACTGTCTCCAGAACGCACTCCCCGTAGAACTTGCCCACATGTGTGGGGCACAAGCCCCATTTTGGGGGCAGTGAACACCACATGTGGGGTGCAACCCCAATTAGGTGACCCCACCGTCATAGCCATCCCAGAGAACACCATCAGCCCGCTGCACATGGCCATCAACTTCTTCCTAGACTCCACGCACCCCACAGGCATTCCTATCCCCATCCTCAACCCCATGGTGACATCGGCATTAAAGCACAATTGAGACTGTGCGAACATCAATATAGCCCTGTGCTTTCTGCCACCATGCTTTAATTTCGTTATCATTAAGTGTGCTGAGCAGTTACATTTCAGTATGTGAATATTTAAAAACAACGCCACAGATACTGACAAAAAATTAAAAAAAAAAAAAAAAAATCTCTTTTTTTTAATACCTATTCATATGCACTTCGCACAACTTTTCTGGCTTAGGAGTAGTTTCCCTCTGTTTTCTTCGTCTTCCCCTCCCACTTCTAGCTTCGCGTTACTCCCCCATCATCTCAAGGCAGACACAACAGATCGCCACGGACTCCGCCGCGGGCCCCCGCCAATGTCCCTCGGAAAAGTTCTATCCGTGGTCTCTGCTGCCACCTCGTGGTCAATGCGGAGAACTGCAACTGCCTCTTAGTCCTGCAGGCAGTAAGACGCACGCGAATAGAAATGCGGAAGCGGCATTTTAACCGCTCTGCGCAGCTAATCCGCCGCATTCAATGGTGATCAGTCCTCCAAGCAGTAGCGGACACGCACCCAACTTTAAGACAGCAACTGTTTCGACAAACGACTGCGGGTACGGGCAAGCAGTCGATTCTTGGACTGCCGGCTCAGCGATAATCTCCCCTTCTAATCCAGGATGCCCCTCATATATTTCCGCCGTTTCATGCCCGAGCCCACTCGGGAACGGTATGGCTCACAGCTGGCTCTGAACGCCCCGTGACGTCCAATTTACACGCCCCCGCGGTGGACTAGCAGACGTCCCCCCCAGACGTGCACCGTCCCCCACCCTTTTAAAAACCCTCGCAGTGGCAGTGGAACACGAGCAGCTCGGACATTCGCGGACACGGCACTGGCGTACAGCGGTGCCGACACTGCACGATAACGGGACCGGAAAGTGTTCAGAAATCAACACGCGTGCGCCCGCCGCGGTTTGGGGTGCATACGTACGCAAGCTCTGCTGGAGCTCCAGTAGTCTATTACCGAGACGGGCTTGGGCGTAAAACCGCCCGAGAAATTAGATAAAGATCATCTAGGTTTGGAAGAGAGAAAAGTATCGCTGAGCCGGTGGTCCAAGAATTAACTGCTTGCTCGCATCTCAAGGCTTCTTAGAAATCGATGCTATTTATAAGCTTTCTGGCGCATGTGCACTATTGACTGGAGAACTAAGCATAACAAAACTTGGCAGATTCGTTGCGCAGAGCGACGATTAAGTACGAACACCACTTACACGTGCCTGCGCGCATGCGTCCTGCTGTCTGCGGCAGCAAACATACACGGCCGCCATTCCACCGGTTGGCCACAAAGGGGCATCAGAGACCACGGAAACAACTTCGCCGACCGGTTCGACGCGGAGCTGCACCACAGTCCCTGGCGCTCCGTTCTTTCTCTTCTTTGCAGAGAAAAACCTTTAAGTTAGATGGAGGATGAGAGGGGTGATAAAAAAGCGTAAATTAAAAAAAGACCAAGGAAAACTTCTCCACCCCCAGAAGAGCTGTGCTAAGTGCTTATGAAAATCTGTAAATAAGTAAGTAATCATCAAATTGATGTTGTCGTGCTTGGATTTTTTTTTTCTGTTTGTTTGTTTTTTTTCCAGCATCTGAGGTGATGAAAAAGCTGGTATCAGTTGGACAGATGCATGCAGTGAAGCTAAGGATGGCTTGAAACTATTAACAGAGCAATGCAAAACAGTCATACAACTTCACGAAAAAACGTAGTAACAGCTTCAGTACCTGGCCACACCACTCTGAGATTCCATCCGCATCACCCAAGGTTTGTAGATACCCACCAGAATGGTTTTGATATCAAGCAATTTGTTGTCAGTTCTTTCATTCACAATCACTGCCAGGATCTGCCACAGGGTGTTCTGACCACGGCCACCACAGCTGAACTGTTTTTATAACAGTGCTATTTCCAGGCGTGGTTTCAAGCATTTGGTATAGTTTTGACCCAAAGGAAGAATTAATATGAAATGTGAGGTATGCATAAGTCATCATGAGGCGTGTTTCTCAGCATCACCTTTGAGAAACAGAGAATGGATTTGTCAAAAAAGTCTCAGAACAGCAGTAACATACAAAGCTGTGTAAGAATAATATGAGAACACTTTGCAAGGAGGTGAAGAACTTTATGACCTCCGCCTGGGAAATCCAGCACCATTTGCCTGCAGATACCTCTTTGGCAACTGTTCTAGATCCAGCTGTACATTCTGCTTGAGAACACAACTCAAAACTACAAAGACGACAACGGGAGTTTTACATAGGCAGAAGAAAAAGAATGGTATGCCTCTTTCAGTATTGAAAGCGAAAGAAATGCACACCTTATCAACAGGTTGACAGCATGTCAAGCAGCAGCCAGTCCCAGATAACGATAACAGCTAGACACTGAAACAGCTTCTGACAAAATCTACAATTTCTTGTACGGAATAAATCATGACAGAAGTTGACTCTGAAGAACAAACTAATTGTCAGCCTAGGGTATTCCACATTACTGAATTTACCTCAGAGTCTGTGCTTTTATTTCTCAGCAGCGAAAGTGCTATCAGGAATCAAGTTTTCCTTCAGCCTCAGCTACCGTCTGCTCTGTGCACCCCTTTACCAGCGTCATCCCAACTGATCTTCGTAACTGTCTTGACATTATACTAGCAGTATAGTTTGCAAGAGAGACTGCCAGTGCAGTATCTCTTGCAAACAGGGATTCAAGGCAAGTGTAGCAGTAGTAGATTCAAAGCATTTGTTCAGCAGTAGTTACTGAGGGTTTTGCAGTCTTCTGGTGCATTGTTTGATTGGATAAAAGCATGAATTTTTATAAAGTCATTTATCTAGGATTGAAGAACTTCAACATCATAAACAGCCACTTAAATTCATTTAGGGAGGAGTAAAAAGTCAGATGCTGAATCTGTTTAACAGCTGTGGGAATACCAGGAAGACTATTCAAAGCAGCAGCTGTGAAGCAAGATAAACAGCATGAGAAGCAAGGATACCTCTAGAAGAGGAGAAAAAGCAATAGAAATGGCTCACGGCTCTGATCAGATCAGTGCACAGTTATGGAGAATTTGTGGAATACTCTGTTGACATGTAAAAGTGGATGGGAGAGCTGTAAGAGCAGATGGGAAAGCTACGAAAGGAAACTTAAGAATGTATGTAAGTGATGTGAAAACTTGTAATAAGTTATTTGGATCTTTCACATCTGAGTCTGTGTATCAGACACTGCAAACAGCCTTTTACATGGTCTCTGAAATACCACAGAGAATCTCTGTAACCTCTCTGACTTGATTCAGTCAACAACAAGGATGTATCAACAGGAAAGAATCCAAAAATAGGTCAGATAAAGGACTTTTTTGATAAATACTGCTACCCAAAATGTTTTAGTTTTTTTTTTTTTTTCTTAGTTATTAGGGACTCTTTACTGCCTTCACTACTTGGTCCTTGTGTGCTCATAATCCAAACAGATTTGATATGCCTTCCTCTGTTAATAGCAACACCACTGGGACTGAAAACAGAAAATGAGCATTTAATTTAGATTTTGAATGAAAGAGAAGTAATTAGAATTCTCAGGTTCTTTCTGCTGCTCAGCTTCCAACTTCCCTTCAGCTAAATAAAACATAATGGAGACATGCTCAAAACATAATGGAGACATGCTCATCTTACAAGCTATATGCAGTAAGAGAGAAACAGTGAAACATTACCTGTTAATCCTATTAATTGTTATTGTGAAACACTTGAAACTATCCCCACAAGTAGTGTGGGCCTTCAGAAACACAGCTAGAGAACAAATTAACTAAACAATCAAATACACAGCAACTCTTATACATGAGGGTTACATGGCAGATGCTACTGCTGGAGAGAAGAGTGATGTAAAATTCTTCAGAGTGGATTCTCTACTACTGCTTCACGGAACATAAAGTAGCCAAGGAATAGGACTACATTTAATGGGAGAGAGTGCTATTTTCAGGAGTTGCAGGTTGTGGTTGTGTTTTTTTGTTTGTTTGTTTTGTCTGTTATGGGCAGAGCACGTGCTCCTTAGACAGGAAGAAGCAGAAGCCCACAGGCCAAATAAAGTGGTAACAGTGCAAAGCATATATTTCACTTGCAAACATTTCAGTTACAACACTGGAGAAAGATTTTTTCGTTACTCTCCTGTAAATGTGCCCAACCTTATGATGAATAACCACACCACTCATTTCATGTCCTCACTTCTCCAAATCCCTGGACAAATGAGAAAAGAAAGGGACTCCTACTCAGATATAGAGTCATCATAGAATGGCCTGGGTTGAAAAGGACCACAATGCTCATCTAGCTTCAATCCCCCTGCTGCGTGCAGGTCGCCAACCAGCAGCCCAGGCTGCCCAGAGCCACATCCAGCCTGGCCTAGAATGCCTGCAGGGATGGGGCCTCCACAGCCTCCTTGGGCAACCTGTGCCAGTGCCTCACCACCCTCTGAGGGAAAAACATCCTCCTAAAATCTAACCTAAACTTTCCTGTCTCAGTTTGACCATACCCCCTTGCCCTATCACCCTCATAAACAGCAGTTCCCCCTCCTGTTTATTCACTCCCTTCAAGTACTGGAAGTCCACAATGAGGTCTCCCCGCAGCCTTCTCTTCTCCAAGCTAAACAAGCCCAGTTCCCTTTCTTCGCAGCAGAGGTGCTCCAGCCCTCTGAATCTTAGTGGTCTTCCTTTGGTCTTATTCCCAGAGCTCTGCCTCTTTCTTGCGCTGGGAGTCCCAGGCCTGGATGCAGTAATGAAGATGGGGCCCAAAAGAGCTGAGTAGAGAGGAACAATCACCTCCCTCTCCCTGCTGGCCACCCCTTTTTTTATGCAGCCCAGAACGGAGTCATCCTTCCAGGCTTCAAGCACACACTGCTGGCTCACACCCAGCTTCTCATTCATCAGCACCCCAAGTCCTTCTCCACAGGGGCTGCTCTCATGGGGTTTTCATCCAGTGTGTATAAATACCTGGGATTGCCCCGGCCCAACAGCAGCACCCTGCACTTGGCCTTACTGAATCCAGTTAGGTTCACAAGGGCCCACTTCTCCAGGCTGTCCAGATCCCTCTGGATGGCTTTCCTTCCCTCCAATGTATCAACTGCACCACCCAACTTAGTGCTGTTTACAAACTTGCTGAGGGTGCACTCAACACCACTGTCTGTATCACTACTCACTTCCCCTTCCTCTTCAGTGGGCTGGGGGAGAGAATTAGAAAGAAAAAAAAAAAAAAGAAAAAAAAAGCAGCACTTGTGAGTTTAGAACAGTTTTATAGGACAGCAAGGGAAGAAAAAATAAAAACAACAGTAAAAGGCTACACAAAGCAAGTGATACACATTACCTCCTGACTGATGCCCAGACGGTCCCCAAGCAGTAGTCTCTCCCCTTGGCCAACTCCCCCATTTTTATTGCTCAGCATGATGCCACATGGTATGGAATATCCCTTTGGCCAGTTTAGGACCTGGTTCTGTTCCCTTCTGGTACATGATGGTGACCTGGACAACTGATGACTGCTTAGAGGTACCTTTCCTCACTCGCAGGGATAGGATTTACCTTGTCTGCAGCTAGAAAAATCTTCCAGCAGCTTCATTTCAGACCTCACCTGCTTTACTTCTTCTCCGTCTTTTCACCTTCAACCACAGTAGTTCCTGCCAAAAGTGACAGGATTCCTCCTTCTTCTCTTTCCCACAGAGTGAGACAAAAGACGTACAAATCTAAGCCAGATGTTGCCAGTGACATCCACATAGATGAAGGGATACCTTAGCCTGCAGCCCCACCCCTGGAAGAGAGAGAACACACAACTATTACCAGCAGTTTTCCCTAACCTGTGTGAGGCTAGTAGCCTTTCTTCAACATGATTTTCTAGAAACGCTGCTCTTTCCTGGATTTCTCTCTGACAGTTCCTGCTTCAGTAAAGGTCCTGAGGGAGCCACAACAGGAGAAG